AATAAATGGCATACCTCACGGCTGGCTGGGTAGCTTTTGACTCTTTTTTTAAAAAAACTATGACCGATCGTTGTTAATAGGTGCTGAAAGTGGGCCTATTCACTGTTAGCTCCATCACCAGCCATCTCCAAGTGGTCACTTTGGGAGCTCTTGGACTGGACCTTGGACTGAAGGTGTGTCTGTAAATGCACAGATATCTGTAACAGGTATCACACTGAGTTGAACTACTAGTTTTATCTCCTATACATCTGGCTTACAAAGCCATTAAAGTTGTTCATATCATCATAATGTTGGGAAGTGAGTTTGACAGTTTGACTGCTTGTATGTGTCCTTTCTCTTCCCTCAACTTCACTGGATGATCCTAGGTTTTAATATTATGAAACAGGAAATAAACTCTTCATATTACCATACTTATTAGCGAACCATTGTTAGATTAATAGTAAACCATATTTACTACCCACCCCCCTCTTAGGAGATCGTTTGCATTCTTTGGTGTCCCTTTTATGTTCTAAGTATCCTGAACAACTTTGTATGATCAACAAATAAAGCAACTTTATTCCCCACATCATTAATGAACAAAAGAAAATTGAGTGCTAGCCCTTTTGGAAAATAATAGCACTAATTAAATAAAAGATGATAGACTGCTAGTCTCCATATTCTAATTTACCTTCAGAAAGCCATGTGATATTGAGGATAGGTTGAGAACTCTACTGTTGTTCACACAAGTTCCAGTCATACTTAATAATCTCAAATGGTAACATATTATCTCTGATGACATAAAAAAGAGTGATTACAAGGAACTACATAAAAACAGACTTCTGATTCTACATCTTGTCCAGACTGTGCAAGACAAAATGCATTTTTCTTTCACTGTTCTTATTTCTACTTAAAAATGTGGACTAGTGTACATTTGAGCAGAAGCCCTAGATTCAGCTGGGAGTTAGCCCCACAGTTAATGTACATCAGTGTTATTTAGACCCCCTAAAATCCTGGCTGCCATGGATGCCTACAGCAAGCTAAGGAAATACTTAGCTTGCTAAGGAAAGGTCTGGGGCAGGAATGGCTGTGCCCCACATTCTCTGACTGCTCTGCACTAGCAAGACCTGGAGACCTGGTCCTGAGAGATAACACTTGCAGGAACTGGTGCACCTTTGTGTGGACATGCTAGAGAGTTGCTACATTGCAGCTTCTTCCTTCCTGTAGTGAGGAGCAGCTGGCCATTTGAAGAAGCCAGCCTGATGTGCCCAAAGGGAGTCACCTGACCTGCCGAGAGCCAACATAGGAAAAGAAAGAGGTTCTGTCAAGTTTGGAGCAGGAAGAGTTTTGGGTGTGGCTTTGGTGAGGGAGTTGGCTGGAGTCCTGGATGAGGGGTGACCTCAGGCAAGATGGAAAGTTAGTTTAGTTAGAATTGCATTATTATTATTATTATTATTATTATTATTATTATTATTATTATTACTACTACTACTAC